AATGCTGGGAAGGCAACGCAAGTAACTGTTAGGGATCTAGAACATATTAATGAAAATCTCATCCATTTCATGGAAAACAGGAGGAAAACAGTCATCAAAGATATAACAGGACTCGCCACAACTTTGGTAAAAAGGTTTACAGACGAGTGGAGCGGAAATCACCCCAGATCTCCCCAGATTGTGGGCAAAAAAACGAAGTATTCAGCACCAGGAAACTGAGAGACCGTTTTTTTTGTGTGCATGTGAAATCGCTGATGGTTGGGCACGCACGGAACGATGGGGTGTTCATATTCTGGCACTCCGGGCCAAAGTACCTCAGTCTTTCAAAGAGGCGCCCAAAGAATCATCATTTGAGAACAGCTGTTCAAATGGGTATGTCTGAAAATGGGGTATACCCCCCAATTATAGCCATTTAGTAGGGATAATGATCATTAACCATTGGGTGTAGGGGTACACTATTTTCAGACAAACCCAAATGAACATGTTGTTTTTTCAACTGGTACTCAGAAAATCGAAGTTGCATGGCTATGCTAGCTACTGTAGCGTCCAAAACTCCTGCACCGTGAAGATTTTGGAGCCCATGGTTTGTTTTTGTCGGCTTAGATTCCTTGATGCATCCTGTTTTCCTGGAATTGAAGCCATGTACAAGCCAGTCGTTGGTTTGGGTCCCATTCTTTGGATTACTGTCGAAAGACTTTTTTGGCATTGCCGCGTTGAAGACTGATCTGATCAGCTTTAAAAAGGCCCAAGCTGGTGACTTCCGTAGATGAAACTGGACATATCTGGACATCCTATTCCCAATTCCCATGTTGGAAAGCTCTATTCCACCTACCCTCTGGTAATTTAACATAGCTATTGAAAATGGCCATTTATAGTGGATTTTCCCATTAAAAATGGTCATTTTCCATAGCTATGTGACAGTTTACCAGAGGGTATTCCTCCATCTATTCGTAGGACTTCAGCCAGGTCCCATTCCCATGGCCCCGGTAGGATCTTCCCGCCGCGGCCCCGATGGCTGTTTTGACAAATCGAGGTCAATCTCCGTGATGGTCCGGTGACCCGAAACCGGTGGCATCGGCACCAAAACGGAGATGGGACACTGACTGATACACCCAGCATATGGGAAAAACATAGGAAAACCATAGGAAAACCATAGGAAAATGGAGGTTTACCCTCTGGTAAACTAACATAACTATGGAAAATCACCATTTTCAATGGGTAAATCAACTATAAATCGCCATTTAGCTATCGAACGGGGGCCCCACTTTGTATGATAATGATATGGGTATGGGTCAATACCTATAGATACCATTTTTAGTGGGATGAACATCCATAAATCCCAGCTATTTTGGGGTTCACTAGGTACCAGGGTTTTGACCCATACCCATATGTTACCCTCTGGTAAATAAACAGTTGGACCCTGAAAATCACCAATTTTTAATGGAAACATTCGTCTTCCAACCCCGACAACTGCCAGGGTCGAACTGTGAATTTACCAGAGGGTAATCGAGAATCCTCCCAATATACATGCTGGAATCACTGGAATCGAAAAAAAAGTTGATATTTTTGTTGTGAAAAATCGTTTACTGTATGGTTGTTGATGTGAATGTTTTGGGCATTCACAAGATCTTCTCTAAATGACTTGCCAGATTTTTGATAATGTCAACCCCGGATTTTGCTAAACCATGGTTTATGAAAATTAGGGGGGGTACTCCTCCAATAGTCATATATAATCTGATACTTTTTTATGGCACCCTCCCAATTAAACAGCCTTAAACGGGGTTTATTAATCCAGGCTTGACATTGTGTTGGAATATGATTGGAATATTACTGGAATATTACTGGACATATTGATGGGATCATGGAATACGAAATTTCTATAGAAATTTCCATCACCAACTTGGATCAGATTGGAGCCATTGGAGCTTTGCAGCAAAGTCCCTGTCCAGGTGAACTCAGGTGCTGCGCGTCGCGAAGGCGAGCAGGGCGCTAATGTTTTCGATGCAAAAGGGCTGGCTGTCCAACCAATGGTGTACAGTAGTCTATCATAGTCTATCCATTTTTTTTGTATGATCAACTGTGAGTAAAACAGTTTTCGTGGCTAAAATATGCTAAAATCATCTAAAATCTGCTACCTGATATACAGTAATTACTCTTGCAAATCCATTCTGAATGAATATTCTTCTCATCACCAGAACCATCATCAGAGCTCTCCGTGTGCGCGGTGAACCACCTGTGTTTGGTCGCTATTTCAGGACCCCTTTCACCATGCAATCCCTCTGGTGGTCAATCATTTAGTTGTGCAGCTCTTAATTCAGAAACATCCAAGCCTATACTACAATATGTATTATATGGACTATGGATCTACTGTATATGGAAAAAATGATGCCATATGTATGTAGTGTGGCTTTCTTTACACCCCAGTGGGCAATGCTTCGTAGCCGTGGTAAGTCTGCCAACTGTGGTTATCCCGCATCTGTAACTGTTGTGACATGTTGTCACTATGGTGACGAATCAGCTATACCAACTCGATGCACATGCCCATTGTATAAAAAACAAAAAGCATGATGCACAACCATTTGGTTGTGTACGTTTAGATAACCGAATGTTTACCTTCTTTACCCATGACTTTGAACGGTAGGCTATCTAAATGCATGACCTTTTTGGTTCCTAAAACGATGGTAAACACTAGGTCATTGAGTCTAAACTCAACCATGGTATACTATGGTCTTTATCCATGACATTTAGCATTATCAATGCATAACATTACGGCAAGATCCTATGGTTTTCACGGATAGTTGGAACTGTGTCTTCAACATGCTCAAATACCTTCGCAGGGCCAGTGTTTTGGTACTTCCCAGACCTAAACCCAACCCCCAAACCCTAAAACCCTAGATCCTAAAACCTAAACACTAAAATCTCTGACTCCCAAACCAGAAAACACAGCGTATACGCAGTATTTCTGCAATCTCTCCTATCATGTTCGACAACATGGCAGTAACATATATCATCCTCAATGTTGCAGTCCGGGCAAACCACGGGGTCCGTGCGTAACATTCGGTTTAAAATGGTTTAAGCATGTTCAGAGGTTTAGGTCTCTCTATCCTAATGTTTACCCTCTGGTTATTTAACATAGCCATGGTATAGATGGCCCATAGAAATAGATGCTTTACCTGGGTTATACCTATTTAAAATGGTGATTTTCCATGGCGAACCGTTAGTCATAACCAGATGGTAACATGATGAAAAACCATGGCACCATGAGCTCTCCTCAGGTTCCAATCTTCAGGCGCCGCAACAACCGGACAGACTGCCCAGTGCCGAGCCCGGCTGTTTTTTAACGGGCAGGACTGGGCTGGCCTGGCCTAGATGGTGATTGATCCCAACGAAACATGAGGGGATTTTAACTATTTTAACCAGGGAAGAATGGAATATCATGGATATGTGGCTGCAGTTGGATTGATTTTATTGTGATTTTATGGCGATTTTATTGGCTATGAACATGATAATCACGGCCATAAGTTGGGATATCACCTGTATAACTATGGTTCTAGAACCAACGTCTTCGTCGAACTGCACCTCCCAATTAATGACAACATCCCGCAGCCAAATGCTTAGCAAATCTTAGCAGTTACCCTCTGGTAAACTAACATAACTATGGAAAATCACCATTTTTAATGGGTAAATCCACTATAAATGGCAATTTTCAACAGCTATGTTAGTTTACCAGAGGGTACAGCTTGCACATATTTGAACACTCAATTTGTGTGTCGGGGCTGGTCTTGTCGGGGCATAGGATCCATAAGAATGAGGTTAACATGTTAATCAACCAGTTGAACGGTTTTACAGAGGAGCTGGAGTCGAACGCGGCTTTCGAAGTATTCTCCAGAGTATCCACTGTTTTGCTGGTTGTATCTGGTTGCTTATGGACGATTGTGGACTATATTCGCAGCATTTGCGGATCATGCTCCCATTTCTATCCCGATGTCTTCTATCGATTTTTTGTAGCCCCATGATAACGATCATTTTTGGCCTTTGCTTCAACATGATGGGTCCAAAAAATAGGGCGACACGCCCCAAAACAACGCGGGAATTGGCTGATCAAGCAGAAAATTTGGATGTTATCCTCAGGGTTTCTGGATCAGTCTGTTTTCTTCATCAATTTCTAGGGATTTCTGGCTTCCCCTAGGTGCCGCGCATGCCGCGCATGCGCATTCGGGCCGTGGCAGCCGTGCAGCCTCGTTTGGGGACCCAGGGAACCCAGGAAACCCAACCTCCATTGAGACGCCAGGGATGATCAAGTGTCATTGATGACATCAGAGGCTACCCTCTGGTAACATAGCTATTGAAAATGGCCATAGAAAAGTCTTGGTGAAAAAATTGCCAAGGGATTTACCATGATTTACCTGCTCCAAATGGAGCAGGTGTTATTATTATGGGTTGAACGACTGGATGCCTCAAATACCCGAAGGTACCGGACACCGCAGCCAACGGGACATGATCAATTCATGTTTTCACGCACAGTGGCCCTGACCCGGGCCATGTGGTGAAGAACCGCTCTATCATAGGCATCACACCCACGTGTGGGCCAAGCAAGACGATTTTGCAATTCATCTTCAGGGACCTCAGGGCGGCCGGAAGACAACTGTTCGGCGGAGCAATGCCAGGAGAGATGTTCCCAGACAGGTGGGATTTGCTCACCGCAAAAGGGACATTGTTCCCTCACTTCGTGTCCACGCATCTTATCATAACATGCCGTGGAATGCGCAGAACCAAGCATTACGGCCCTCTGATGACTATCACACGTGAGAGAGAACAACTTGCGGGCATCGGAAACACGACTTTCCTCATACGGCACATCAAGCAAATAATGCCTATCACGGCGGTTCTGCTTTTTCCAAAGGGCAAATTGCACTCGGCGCCAACTTTCTCTCACCTTGTGCTCGGTGAGTTTCACAACAGCTTCATCTGGATTGGATAAATCGACATGACCCAAATCCTCATGTGCAAACATCCATGGACCGCGAAATTCCCAGTTCAGCTCTCGCATGCGTGCGCAAATGAAACTCTGCCAGCCTCCAGGTCGTGGCATCCTTCGCCAAGGGGCACGAACTTGGCGCATGGTCCGAATGGAAGACATGGTGGCCCAAAACTCAGCATGATACATATGACCTACAAGCAGGTTGAAAAGAGGTCTCGAAGCGTTACCTTGCAGATAGGAAATGGCATGCCATGCCTTTCGAAGCGAAGGCAACTGTGACTGCGGCAATCGTTCAAACCAAGCGCCCCAGGTGGCGAGTGAAATGATTCTGGACCTGTACAAAGACATCCTGATATCGCGGGCAACCGGCAATTTCTGCAAACGGTGAGCGGCAAACACTGCTTCTTGCAAACGGTTTTCAAGAACAGGGGAAACAATAAGGTCACTTTCCTTAAAGTCAATACCTAAGACCCGAGTGGCCGGTCGGAGATACTCACCAAACCCTGCGTCATTGATCTCTTGCTTTTGTTGCGCAGTGCAGGCAACTAAACGCATTTTTTGAACGTTTTCATGGAGACCCAAAGTGGCACTCCAGCTGCGCCATCTATGGATGCCAGCAATTAAACGTGGAACATTAGGCGCGCTCAAAGCGCGATCATCAACGTATGCAACCTGACGCAAGTCTGGAATGGAAGACACATCATGAAGGGGCCTAATGAGCAACATGATAAGAGCCAGAGGTGCAAAGGCATCACCTTGCGGCATGGAGGTCTGGACATGCTCCGGCGTTGGGTGCACAGCTTTCCCCAAGCACAGCCATCGCACTTGATGACCCCATACAAACATCAAAATGTTAGCCCACTCATCTGGCAACCCTTGCAGTTGCATGTTTTCAATGGCCAAACCTGGGTGGACAAAATCAAAACATTTGGAGAAATCTAAAGAAGCAAGAACTTCCTGGTTTTCAAACGCTTCATTGAGTTGCCTCCATGCCATGGCACTGCTCGGGGACCCGAGACGCAATCCATTCCTGAACCTGTGGGGTCCTCACATAAGATGAGGAGACCAACCGAAGAAAAATGCTTTCAACTGCAATAGGCCGCAAAGACCCTACAGTCCCACCATCATCCTTTCTTAAATGAACCTGACGAACCTGCAGCCATGCCTGTGGGAATTGTTTTAACTGAGACCAATGCAAAACCAAATCACGGTAGTGATCCCAAGCAACAAGCGGGAAATGGCAAACTTCGCTGCCGGACCAACCGTCACATCCGGCTGCAGACCCCGAGGCTCTGAGAGCGGCCTGATGGATGAGGGCAGCATCTGGCATCCAATCAGTTTGGGGTCCAGCCAGGGCTTCCATTGTTCTAAATTCTGGGGGTAAGTGTGGAACGAGGTCATCACGTTTCCAAATACGCTGCCAAAAAGAACGAATACAATCAAGGGTTTGCGTGATCGTGGCGCAAGAATCTTCGGAAACAGAGCGTGGTGTTGGAGGTTTGTGAGGCTTCATCCACCGGGTCACCTCTTTGCCCCCCTGGCGCATTCTGGTACGCCACTCGGTCAGCCTTTGGTTCTTGGACTTCCTGTTTTCAAGCGCAATGCGTTGTTCAAACACTTCAATAGCGTGGTTCCAAGACCCCCAAAGCTCATTGTATTCAGACGGCCAAGTCGACCATAATTTTTGCAAAAGCTTTTTGTCTCCCTGGGACTTGGCTAACTGTCGCTTCACTTCATAGAGACGACCAAGCACATTAACAAGTTTTCTGGCAGGGAACGTATTCACCTGGGGGCGTTCAGCCTTGATCACACGAGGCAAATTCCCGCGCGCATGGCCTGGCCTAGGCACGGGCTGGCCACACAAGTGCAATGCTTCACGCATGCTCTTTTCAGCAAACTGGTGAAAATATTCCCAATCTTGGTCGGGATCCTGAGAAAAACATGGCACGTAAGCGGCCCATTGTTCTGCAAGCACGGCCCGCCATTGCTCAACAGGCACTTCCGGAGGACATTCATAGTTAGGCCGCCAAGCGAACCTCCACGTATCAGTCTGGAAAATGGGCAAGCGCAATCTAAGCCAAAACATCTTGTGATCAGAAATCTTACATTCACTGTAACGCGGGCAATCAGCAAAACCGTACCCGCCGCTGAGAATTCCGTAATCAAGACATCTTTTACCTTCGAACCGGCTAGGCACCCATTGATCAGGATCCGTGACAGCCAGAACACTGCCATTCAAGAAAATGGATGCGGCGTTGTCATCAGGAGTTTCGTTCCAATCACCTACCCAAAGTGCAGGTATCTGCCTGCGTTGTGCTTCTTCAGTGACCGTAGCAACATATTCCAAAAATTGCAAACCATCAAGTTGGCTTGGCCGGCGCCAAACTGAGGAAAGTAGGCACGATTGAAGATCCAAAGTCATGACATACCCTTCATCGCAAGCCAGTGTGTCCCAGATGCCTCCTCTGAGATGCTCTCGCAATGCAACCAAAAGACCACCTCGGTAAAATTCACGTTTAAGTGTGCGAACAGGTTTGGCCGGAATGGTCCAACACTTGTACCCAAGTTTCTGAAGCCTTTCAACATACTGGGAGCCTTGACGAGGCTCGAAGTCAGGCTCTTGAAGACATAAAACAGAAGGCAAATTACCCTCATCCTGAAGCAAGTTTAGGCCCCTCCAAGCATTGCACGATCCACGGCAATTCCACGAGAGAATCCAGTGGTCAGGATGGCCTGGGCCTGGATGGGGGTGTATATTCTCAGCAGTCAAATCGCGTTTCCATGACTTAGGCGGCCACTTCTTGCGCGACTTTTTCTTGGCGCTAGCCCAAGCATCATCAAGCTTCCTACGCTCAGTAGCACTCAAACGCCAAGCCTTGTGCAGCGCCTCTTGGCGCTCTTTGGGAGCCTGACGCCAGCATTTTTGGCGACCAGGCATGGCTAACCACTCGGCACGAGCAGTCCGCCCGCCACAAGGACCTGCAGCTCTCACGGACTTCTCAGTTTTCCAGTAACCAGCACAAATGGAACAAGCATGCTGAGCCATGAAGAAAATAACTTTTTTCGACCCACCAGCCAATTTTTTCGTTCCAGTAGTACGTCTCTGCACTTGGGATAGGGAGTGTCCTTGCTCCTTGGCAAACTTGTTGAGTTGCACATACATCTGGCGATGCTTCAGCTTCCAAGGCAAAATGCTTCTGTGAGGTACATCAGATGACACGCTTGCTCTCTTGCAAAGGCGAAGAATGGAGTCGCCTCTGGTGGCCCCTTTTGGGGCCTTGGCGCAGGAGCGCAAATGAGCAACGATTGATGCTTTCTGATGTGTCTTAGGCAAAATGGGGAGGGTGCCCATGCAAAAACCACAAGTCCAAGAAACAGCAGAATGAGCGGGCCCATACGATACGGCAGTAACCGGAGCCCTGTACTGATCAACAGCCTTTTTAAAATTGGTGGTTGGGGTACCACGATGCGTACGCCTAATGTGATCCGTACGTCTTTTTGAAACGATGCATGCTTTGTCAGTGAAAGAGACGTTGCAAATGTGACATGTCCACGTGATTTCCCGGTCGCGCCCAGTGGCAACAGACGCAGAAGCTGATGCGGCAGATGGGTTGGAACCACATGGCTCGGCTTCTGATTGCTCGGTCTTTTGACGGCTCGGTTTGGCCGTTGATGCAAAATCAGTCAGACATGCACTCCGTTTGGCAGGGGTGCTCTGGGCAAAATCGGTCAACCTTGGGCTTGGCCTGCTGGATTTGGGAGTTGCAAATTGTGAAAGGCAAATAGAGGCATTGTCGGCAGCCAAGCGTGCCTTCTTTGCGGCCCCGCGGTAACCCTTGGTGCCACCGTCTTCAGCATTCTGCCACAGGGCCTGAATATCTGCGTCTGAAGGAACAATAAGCTCATAATGTTCATCCTTGTACCAGAGACAGACAACATCCTTATCGCCATGACTATTAAAAGCATGGACAACATTGTCCTTGGCATGCACAACAAGTACAGGTCGGCGCATGGCTTCGCCATATGCTTCGATTTCACAATATCCCGCCCAAGCTTTATCTTTTTCAAGGGCTTGTAAATAATCGTCAAACCCACCCTCCATGGGAATGTTGCTCGGGCTTAAACCGTCCCAGAAATCCTCGTATTTCTTGAAGTGTTTGGTCATGTAGGCAACAACAAATGCACGCACCTGCCTGTGGCTGCGGGACTTACCTGGGGTAGACTCCGCCTGAGCTAGACAGTAAAACAAGCAATTCCCTTCCCCAGGGTTCGGAACTTTTTGAAGCCTCTCGGGCACTTTCATCCTCTTTTTGTCATGACCAGTTTTTTGCGGGCTGGTCAACATGGCCTGGTCTTTGCGTTTGGTGCCCTGGACATGCATGGGCTCATCCTCAACATCACTTGCATCTGGGACGCTAATCAGACTGACATCCATAGCTTCGTTACCGCGATCATCCTTGGAGGGTAATGGAGGTGGACTACTTTTCGGTAAGGCAAGCGTGGTTGCAAAGTCAGGCACTTCAAGCTTGGATTTGTGCTTGCCTTTTCCTTTGCCTTTACCCTTACCTTTTTTGTGAAATGCATCTAGTGAAAAGAGCACATCATTTTCTGCTTTCAACGGCTGGACATTTCCTGGCGCACGTCGTTTGGACTGCTTAACTAAAAACAGATCTAATGGTGGCTCATTGCACGTCTCGTCCGCATCATAATGGATTTGCATTTGATCACGGTCATCATTTCTCATGCCTTTGAAAACCCAAGCAGTGCCACCACGACGGCGTTGCTTTGCTAAAATATCAATTTCAGAGAAACCTGCTTCAACCAGAGTTTCTTCCACATTTTCAAAATCCCAACCAAACGGCACTGTCTCAACCCGCCAAACACTAGAAGTGGGTTTGAGCCGCTCATCGTCTGGTTTGACCCTGAGAGCCAGCTGTACACGACCCCTAGCCATGCCAAAAGGACCCGAATCATGAGCTACGCGACGAGCAAATGCAATTTGTTGTTCATTTTCCAGTTTGTCCACCCAAAGCATGCGTGGAGGTGTTTCTGCGAGGCCATCCCATCTGGCAGGATCAAGAAACCAAACCTGACCTTTGTGTTCTGAGCCGCTCGCTTTAATCAACTGCAGGGCCCTGTCTTTGCCTTTGACGCGAGCAAATCCTCGAACCAGGTTTTCAGCCTCGAGTTTTTGGAATCCCCACGTGTCACCAAGGTGAAGCAGAAGATCCCTAGCGTTTGGGCCTAAATCAGACAGCCACAAACGAAAAAAAATCCCAGGTCCCTGTGTGATATGATGGCGATTGTCACTGGCAATAAATCGCATGTCACAACTAATTCGAAAAACAAAAGACTCTTCATGGCCGTGTTTCTGGACAACAGGCCGCCTGGCGCCTGTCAGCACGGATCCTGGAACCAATGTGGGTGCATTTGGCGAGCACCGCGCAATCCAAACCAAGCGCTGGACCAATTTATCATCGGCATAACCAGCTGCACGTGTGTTCAAGGCTGTCCAACCATGATATCTCAATTTGCCAAGTTCTGGAGACATGTTAGGTGCAGCTTCAAGAACAACCGTGACATTGGTGCGACCAGCAGCATGAGAAATTTGGAGGGCTTCATTCCAATCATCCAGATTTTGTACTTGACACAGGAGAGCACCGGTGTCCCCACTGTCAAGAGCGTTGCACAGAGCTGTGGGGCCACGCAAAACAGTTTTGACGCCCCAGTCCTGGGCACGGGCTTTCCAGGATCTGTCGCGTGCCATCGTGTTTTTGGCTTAGGAGCACCATCTACCAAATTCTCTGAACTTTTGAATCGTGTGCTTGGTTTCACAGGCGGGACCGCCTCATGCGGCGGCAGATCTTTCTTTCTCTTGTTTGGTCGCAACATACCACGTTCAGTAACTTGAACCAATGTTTTCAACCTTTGGAGCAACCCTTGTGGTTTCTTTGCGGCTCGGGCAGTTAGCTTTTGCAAGGCTTGAATCAGCCCATAGCTGCCATCATGGTTCGCATCTCTCTGTTTGGAAGGTAGGCTTTTACCACTACTTTTGCCGGAGCCCTTACCCTTGCCTTTTTTGTTTGAGGCTCCGGAGCTAGAGGCCTGCAAAGTATCTTTCAACAAAATCTGCAAACCTTGCAGCAGTTTCTGTTCCGGTGTCTCTGGACTGTTTCTACGACCTCCCCCGCGGAAGGAAGATCTGGGCGGGGAGGCTTGCGAATGCTCAGGCATGTTTTGACAGAATGGGCAAAACTGCGCACGTACGCAAAAGGACAGGAAACGGCCTACCCTATTAAACAAACTGACTCTTGGCTTTCGGATGCACTTACGATGCAATCGGCAGCGCTTTCGGCCAACTCTTCTGCACTTGAAGACTTTCTTTGGCCTTGCATTCAAATGGTGAAGTGACAGCATTATCCTGAAAACAGCTAATGTCACCAAATCGATGATGTCAACCCCTAAACCAATCAAAAGCAGATTCACAAAAGAAGGTTCAGTCAACAGCTTTCGGAAAAAGAAAGCGATGACCATGATCTTGCATGCCAGATGACAGAACCACAGCAGCGCTTTCTGTGCATTCCATGTGAGGAACCGATGCATTGAAAACAACATTCGCATGAGCATGATGCCAAGGAGTGCTATTCCACAACCTACTATTCTCTTCTTTCCGCACATCAGGACAAGGACCTTGTAGGCCCCGGCGAAAACGAAAGAGAGGCTGGTCGGATTGGACAAACAAGTATGCAAGCAAAATACGACCGCGGCATTTCGCAAAAAGTGCTTCTGCATGTATGCAACAGAAGCATCATGTCTGGTTTGGAAACTCCAAATGACGGCTTGTCTGAAACATCGCACACAAATTAAACTGAGGCCTAAACAAACAAGATCGGCACCTGTGAATTGAAACTGCTGGCACCACTGTGACACTGCAGAGACAACCTCAGCAATCTGAGGCCTTTGCGTGACATGGCAAAGAGATCGGTTGCAGAAAACCAACCCAGAAATCATCATTGTAAAAACGCTCCCCCATGAAACAAGCTTGCATGTCCTAGTGGAGCAAAATTGCCAAAGGGTCACGAAATAATAAGACATCATCGCCACAGCTGACAGCAAACCATGATTCCAAGTTGGTTTGAAATCCGTGTCAACCATCTGCGCAACGCAATTCACCGGTATTTCGAATCCAGGAGTTGCCTGAAAACCATCCACGGTGTGTCCAGAAACACACGAAGCATGAGTCTGCAAAATCATGGCTTTGACGTGGAAGAATACAAAAGCAGCAAAAGAGCCCCAAAGGTCCCACAAATGCATCCAAGCAGTGGACCACATAGCCACGAAGCGCTGATAGAACTTGAAGCTCCACGGTGACTCAAGCCAGCAAAAACAAGCACAACCTGTTAAAATCACCATAATCTTCAAGAGAGGCCACCACACTTTTCTCCCACACACAGTTTTCCTCACCAAGTTCACGATGTGGAAAATCCGGCTCCAACTTTGCATCATCCATTCAATCTTACCGGCTTTACTGCACAAACGTCTTGAAACCGCAGCCATACCCATACACACACCAGAAAAGATTGCAAGGACGTCAAAATTCAAATTCAATGCAACGAATTGATACCTCACGAAGTAGCTAGCACAAAAAAAAGGGACAGTGAGTAAGATGCAATACACCCGGCATTGCACAAACCATTGTCCATCGTCATCTCTGTTCATCTCACCTCCGCAGCACAGGGCCAGCACCGCCAGCATGGCTTTGAACAAGCCCGCCATGGCTTTAAAAGTGCGCCCGAAATGCCTATTTGCTTGCCCAAAATGGAGCAGGTGAATTGGCTGGCCACCTCATCAAAAAAGAGGTCCTCGTAAATTATGGATATTATGGGTATAAAGTAGATTGATGTAGTAAGGGGGGCCATCCCAAAATTGTAGAAATTTGCCCAGGGTTTGATTTGGATCATCTTGTTTCTGCTTTGGAAATGTCTGGGAATTATAGTCATTTACCCAGAATGGATTGATATAGTGTTTCTGGTTTGCCACATGTTTGCCCCTTTGGCAAATCATTGACTTGGGATATGTATCTTGATTGTGGATATTGTGGTCAGTGATTGGTGGCTTACCCATTTGGCATCAGCCATTTAATTTGCACATGCATGTAAATGCTATACCTCTATCCAATTGCAAAGGAGTACCCAACAACAGATAACCCAAGGACCCAAGGGCTGGGTAGATGTACATAGTGCGGGTCATCGTCTGGGGCCATACTAAGAATGTCATGATTGTCGGTGGGGACGCCTCGTGGGCCAAGCCAATTGTAAACAATGAATGATGTCAACCGCGGATTGATAAACTCGTGGGTTATATATGGTTGTAAGATGTTATAAGTTTTATTATATACAAGAGTTCTTATGTGCAACTTGATGCAACTAAGGGAAATATGACATGCCTGGCAATTAAAGAGCACAGAAGTTTATGATTCCGGGCTTTGCATGAACCCGTCAGGTAAGGATACCAGTGCCATGGATGGCACCCTTCATTTTCCAATGTTGACGCCAGCAAGAATCAGATGTTTCTCCCTCAACGTGAACATGAAATCCAAACTTGAATGCCTCAAAAAGTTTAGAAAACAACATATATCATCATATATCATCATATATCCCCCAAGGAAGGCCGGTTTCAGCTCCGAACCCTGACTGATGTAGCTAGTTGTGGCTCCAGGTACCATCAGGTACCCAAAAACAAAAAAGGGTCGTTCGCTAAAAATTGCTGGGTAGCGGTGGCGAAGCCAGCGTCTCGGGACGACATAGTTCAACCCTATATAATCCTATATATATATTACATATTACATATATATATTTGTATATAATGTATATATATATATATGTATATCATTATATAATACTATATATCATAATTTGGACTGATGATCTCAATTGACCTGCTGGCATGTTTTCAGATGTGTTAAAGTCACCAGAAAAGTATGGTCCCTGGATCGAAGTCCATCTTTTACCCAGCTCCATCCAATTCCTGGAGGTGCTGAAGGTGAAAACAAAGAGCAGATTTACGGTTCCACCAGGAGTCAGCAACTGATTTGAAGAGAAGCAGATCCATGAATCTACCCTCTGGTTATTTGTTACATAGCCATGGAAGCCATGGCCCATAGAAGTAGATGATTTTCCCAGCTAGAAACTAGAAACCTCCATTTATAGTCTCGATTTTCCATGGCTATGTCAGTCATAACCAGAGGGTACTCTGGATTGGGTCTTTTTCACGGTTTTTCCCAAGGATTTACCCTAAAATTACCCAAGAGCTTCGCCACAATTTATGTCGGAACTCCCAGCCAAAGGCCAGTCTTGCCGGCCTCGGAGGTTCACTTCCTGGGTCGAAAATGGGTCGTTTGGTACATAGCTATGGAAAATCTGCATGCTAATATAGGAAAATATAGGTAAATAATCTATGAATGGGCCATTTTCGCCATGTTCATCCATTTTCCATAGCTCTGTTAAAACTTTACCTATTACAGTAAAACTATATAGTTTGCTGTGGAAAATCATCATTCTCAAAAGATAAAGTTTTAATAAAAGTCGCGCTTAAAAGGTTGCATTTTGCATAGCTCTGTTATATAGTTGTTTATACACTGGGCGCAGGGGGGGAGCTGATCTATAAATGGGGCATTTCCATGGCAAATTGTTAGTTTACTGGAGGGCAACGGCGCGAAATTTGGAGCTGTTTGGCACCTGAGACGAGTGGAAAACCTCCCATATGGGCCTCCAAATAAATAGATGATAGATCCAATACCAAACCAGATAAACCAGGGGGTCTAGGGGAATATAAAATATCAGAGGGATGGAATTGGTGCTAGCATCAATTTCCAACAATGAAGGGAGCGGCCCCACCGGAGATAGTATGATCGGGCTGTGTGGATGAGATGGTGGCATTTATTTGGAAACTCGTAACTCCTCGAGATTGGATAAGCCCAAAATCACCAAAATTGATCTACAGTATTGGTGGAGACGGGGGATCTTCATTCTACAGGTAGGCTCATGACGAGTGGCCCCATTTGATCTTGCTTCTACCCCACTTCCTGTTGATTTCATTCCTTGGCAAGCAAAAATGACATCATCTTTGGATACTGTAGAGGAGCGTGAGAAGAATCCCCTACACCACTGAGTCATGGCCCACTTCCAGGCGACAATCCCCCCCAAAAAAACAAGCCCTGCGTTTGCAGGCGCAGCACTGAAAGCCGCAGTCCTTGGCAGGGCAGCCTTTTGAATGGATCCTGAGGAGCCGTGCTTCAGAATGGGGCTACAAGAAATGGAGTGTTACTATGATACAATCTTGATGGAATAATGTCAACCCCGGATAAGACTCAAACCATGGTTTATTTTCATTAGGGGGATACTCCCCAAATAGTCATTTCATCTGATACTTCAATGGTATCCCCCCAATTCAACAACCTAGGGGTTTATTCATCCAGGGTTGACATTATCATGAAGGAATATCATGGAGATGGTGGTTGGAGATGCCAACCAAACGGATGATTCCAAGAAGTCATGGGGATTCAACCAATGGGTTCAAAGGAAAAGAGGGCAATGAATAGAAACGCCATCATTTTTGGAGAAAAGACTGATGTGGAATGTTTTATGTAATCCTGCAACCAACTTCTCCCAGTTATTTTTGGATTTCTTTAGGGCTCTATGAGGCATCATTTTTGGCAGACCTTCAGTGGCCGCGACTGTGCATGGAATGGGGAATGACTATCAGTGGAACTTTCCATTACAAGGAGCTTTAGCAAGGCCTATGAAAAAAATCAGAAACAAAGAAACTCTACTATCTAATTGACATAGACCCTGCCACAGAGGGGGTTGGAAGATTACTTTTCCTCCAAAGAAATGCTGTTCTCAGGGTCAAGCTGCAAGTTTGGGGTGATGGTAACTAGCCACATTCACTGGTGAGGCTTCAACAATGAGAACCATTGCGAGACATCACAATCTTCCCCTATTGAGCCAGATGATGAACCATCATTAAGCCAATTGATCGATATTTATGAGATGGATCAAAACAAACAAATAGCACGTGCATGAACACCGCCATGGTTAACTCAATGCATGCATTTTGATCTCCCCATTCCTATCTTGCAGACTCATTCGGTGGCGCTCGCTGCCTTTGCAGCTTGCGCCTTTCTTGCACTACACGCCGCGGGTGTGTCCCCAAAATGGGGACCCCCACAGTCT